GAGCTTTTAGAAATTCGTAGGATCATAATGTATTAATGTGTGTGTGTATTTTATCTCTGTGTTTATATAAGCACGCTTCATTATTAACTTGATTAGAATTATTTAATCGTGCGATTAAAATAATGATTAGAAATGGTTGATAATATCATTGAAATAAACTAAATATTTCTCTCTTACTCCCTTTAGCCCTTATTATCGTCTTATCGTGGTAATATTTTCTAATAATCATAATGATCGTGCAATTATTTCACAATTGCGCTCGATATCTCTATCGGTGCGTTCTAACTATGCCGAAGTAGATATTATGTAATGGCAGAGGTGCATTGGCCATTAATATTTCGTGCTTGTCATCGAAATTCAATTTCCAATGGAACGGCGTTACTCGATGCACATGAGGAACTCTAATTCAGTGTCTGCGGTCGTGTCAATCAACTCCACACCGGCCAACTAGGTAGAAATAATTAATGCCCGACAAATTTGGAGAATAAACACGATTCGCTTTATATGAAAAGTTACAAAAAATATCTTGTAATGTTGAGCTCCTTGAATGTTTTCCTAAGCGATGATCTTTATTCATTTTATTTTTTTTTTTTTTTTTTTTTATTTGATGATGATTAACATTTGACGATTTTTTTTTTTTTTTTAGAATTGAATATTACTGGATCAAATTATTAATAGTAGGAATTATATGATTATATTTATTTTTTTCTTGGTTTGTTTCGATTAAATCATCATTTATGCGAATAACTAACTAGGATATAATCAAGGATATAATCAAGGATCCCATATGCATAATCTAACCGTTCGATATTACTAGGAAGATAGTACGAAAATCAATCGCGCATATTCGCTTTGATTTATTATCGATCCTCTACGATCAATATATCTACCCTCTCATATCTGTTATGTTGTCTTGCGAACGATTTCAAACTATAGAAAATCTACGTGATTCGAAATCAACGGTAGGATCGTCGAATAATCGCTAATCCTTTAATACCAATTTCGAATTATACGCGAAATCCGTGCAATTAACCGAGTCGTATTATTTCTCGTTACCTCGCACTGGAAAATATGCCTTTCGACATTGGGAAAGATAAAATTTCATAATACATATATACATATATTTGATAGAATGTATTGTATACGTATAATCAAACGTAAATAATTCAAATGTTTGACGCTTCAAATTCGATCATATATGTAAAATTGATTTTTGTGAATTTAATATTATAATATATTTCTGATTAAATTAAATGAAAAATATTCATTGGAATATATTATTTTCTTGTGTGTTGTTCGTTAGTAAGTAAATATCATTTTCAAATGAAAATAAGTGCGTGTCGTTTACATTAGACAAAGAAAAATATGCAGGCAATCAACCCTTGGCCTCAAATTGGAAGTAGCAAGATAAATGAAGGCGTTAGGGAGAATGCTAATTGCCATTCCGCGAGCGTCTCCTGAAGCTAAGGGGATAACTGCAACTCGGTTAGCATAACGAGACCAGTCGACAAATCCATTTTTACGACAAACTTGTCTTGTCACGCGAGACGAATCTTGATATCCTTTTCTTTATCATATGATTTATCAATTAAAACAATTTTCTATGCATGCATTATATTGTACTACCGATAAATTCATTTTCAATTCTTTCGTGAATATTAAATATTATTATTCGATTTTTTGAATTTAATTAATTAATTTCTAAGTATGCATTTTTACTGGCGTGTAATCGATAAAGATAATATTTAAAGAAAATTATTCATGAGAAATGGAAATAAGTAAATATTATTTTACCTTTTAAAATTAATGAAACTAATTTGAAAATAAATAAATGTTATAAATGTGCTTATCAAGAAAATATTTTAGAAAGTTTTTTATGATTTGCATAGAGAAAAGAATCTTTTTTTCTATAATAGCCTCATACACAACACAGCTGCGTCTAGGTCGCGCATACGTTCCTTGAAATTGAACGACATACAAAAACAGATTTACATCAGGATTACCAGCAATTCGATCGGTAAAGAAGCTCCGTGTCAATCAAAGTAATGGATAAGTATTCAGACGACATGAATCCGTATTGATTGAATGCACGTTCATACGTTTGATCATGGTAATAACAAGCACGACGGGAGTTGAAAGGGACATGGATGAAATGTGTTAATTAGAATACCATTAGAATACTATCTAATCTTCGACTCTATGGTAATAAATTTAATTAATTTTAATTTTTTTTTAAAACAATAAAAATAAATTGTTTAATAAAAATGTTCATATAGGCTGTAATAATAAGATAATTACATAAAATTTTATCGACCAGCGTCTGTGGATAGCAATACAAGTATATGTAATACAATTCTGTAACTGTGGTTACCTGCTTGCAGGGGTTATATGAAAGAACGTAAGAAGATAGTAATACTTTCAACCCATTTCGGACGTATAAATTTGGACATGGGTGTCGTAGTGGTAATATTTTTATTAAATATATATAATATATTTATTATGTAAAATATATATCATGTAAAAATACATATAAAATATATATTTTATATATAAATATAAGATTAGGACGGTTTCTTGTGTGGTGGCTGAGGGCAGACATACGACCTGAACGGTAAAAAGACTTTAGTTGCTGAGAGTAGACGTGCGTCCAAAAAGGTTAAAGCATATGTGTTACGAAAATAATTTCATACAAAATTATCCTTCCAAATATCTTTTATAATCTCATCATATCTATTTACGTGATCTGTTATTTTTGAATTTGACCATTATAATCAGCCTTGTTTTTGAACAGACTTGTAAGGACCAAATAAAAGGGATAGAGAGAAGAGTAAGTCCGACTACATTGATAACACGATTACACATATACGTAAAAGCACAGTAGCTTGGCACAACTCGATTAGCAGAATCCATAGTAACGTTCCTTCGGCCGCGATAGAGAAATAAGTATATAAAATAGTATTATTAGAAATAGTAGTATTAGTAGCAGTAGTGATAGTAGTAGTATGAGAGTACTCGTTTGACCGCAATCAGAAGTTTGGTTTTGGTTTCATGTAAATTGCCATGAACTCATCTCAAAGAAGAATTAGATAATCGATCTATGGAGACAAAACATTCTTACAGACTTTTTTATTTTGTTTGCAAAAAAAGAGCACACTAACTTTGTGAGGAAATAAAAAAATGAAAATAAAAAATAAAGGGAGAAAAAAAGAAAAGCCATCTTATAGACCGATCTTCGGTATTTTTATGACAAGAGGAGAGCACATATCGATAGTATCGAAATATTAGCATAGGAATGAGATGCAAAAGACCTTAGGCTCGTTATCTTAAGCTCGATAAGTTTCACTACTCTCGAACGGTTCGTCACGTAGCATGTCCTCACGTAAGGGAGACGACCTCCTAGAGGAGGTCGTAGTTTTGCTCTTACACATCGGTCACGTACACTATCGTATATATAAGGAGCCTGCAACGTAACGTCGATAGGAAGCTACATTTTCACCCTTCCTCTTTCCCTCCTCTCTCTTCCTCACCCTCTCTCACTCTCTCTTACTCTATCTACCTTAGTCATAACGCGCAGAGATTACACGTGCACCCAATCGCGTCCGTGTCGCTCGCATCTGGCCTAAACATGTCTCTCGTTCAACAATATCTCGATATCTATGCTATGCTATGCTCTGTGTTCTCTCTCTCTCTCGCTCTCTCTCTTTTTCCTTATCTCTATCAATCTATCTATCTTTCTTTCTCTCTCTTTCTTTAGGTTATCTTCTCGTGTGTATCTTCGACCGGCTTCTCCGGTTTACCTTCATATCGCGATAACACTTTCGTGTCCCGTCGAATGCAAACACGCGAGCACTCCTTTACTTATACGAGCATACTTACCTGCGACGTTAAAACAACATGGACAGGTTCAGCTTCACACTCTAAGATTCTTTTAAATATTATATAATTTTCATATTTACAAATGAAATATTTCATTACATATTAAAGTGAACATTTTTTTTTTTATAATTTTTAAATAAAAATTTTTCAATCGGAACTTGTCAAGTATATAATGATAGATTATTTAAATAATAAAGAAAAGGTAATCGCTTATCTTAGCTGTCGAGAGTTGGTTGATATACTATTCAAAATTAATTTAATATTTATTTGAAAGGCAAAAAAGAAAAGCAGGTAGATACAGTAATTCATTCGACAATTCTCGACGAATAAAACTTTCTCCTAATGAACAGATAAACTTCTTGTAATAATGTAACATTTAACTCAACACAAACCAGCCAGTATATAGCATTGTCAGCTATATGGAAACCGTGTTATACAAATAACATGTTGTGGAAGAACTGTCGCAATTTTTGCACCCTGTTATATATCAAAACTGTGTTTTCATGGTAGTATGCTATAAGAGGGTCGAGTGTATTATATACTTACATATAAAAAGCAAAAAAAATTATGTATTATCCGTTGCCCGGAAAGATGTAGAACGAATAAGAAGAATAAAAATGAAGAAGTGTAGGAGGAGGAGAAGGAGGAGGTCGAGGTAGTGGTAGAGATAGTGGAAGAGGGGACAGGAGAAGAAACGTAGCTGTAGTGTGTATTATTTCCGAAGAAAGAAAGAAAAAGAGAGAGAGAGAGAGAGAGAGAGAGAGAGAAACAACGCGTGCGTGAGTGCGTACATGCGTGCGTACGCGTATAATCGTAGGTTAGTTAAGTTAGGGGCACAAAAGTGGGGTACACGGTAAAGACGATAGAGATAGTACTATCGGAGGTGTTCGGTCGTTCTCGGAAAACCGATGTCTCACGAAGCGGACCGAAAGTAAAGCGCGCGGCAGACGGTCTTTGCGCGCCGAGCTCTACGGTCGTGATTCGACTCTGGCGATCGACTTGTAATCTCTTTATCTCGTGTGCTCTCTAATAATAAATCAACGTCAATTTTGTTTCAATTATTCAAATAAATATAATTGAATAAAATTAAATATCAATTACGCGGTCTTACGTGTTTTTTTTTAAATATAAGGTCAAGATTAAAGAAAAATAATCATTTTCGTTCGCGCCTCGGTTTTGTTATTTCAAATATTTTTGGTGTGATCGAACGAGTAAACAACAGTAAACAGTTTATTTTGAATTATTCTTCAAAGATACTTCTGGTCAACGGGAAATTTTGTTCTACCTATTGTTGGAGGGAATATAGAGAACAAAAAATATATATATACAAACACGTTTGTTATATAGTTCTACACGAGCATAAAAGAAAAAGAAATAAGAAGAAGAGGCGGAGGAAAAAGAAGAAATAGAGAAGATAAACAGTGAGAGTTTGGTGATGTGTGCGAAATCAACGAGACCAGCAGCATTCACGATGTCGTCGTTCCTCTGGATCTTCGCCCTGCTTTATCCAACGATCATTCAAGGTGCTAACAAACGTCTCTACATCCTTTTTGTTCTTTTTTTTTTTGGTTTTTCTTTATTAATATTATTTTTTTTTTTTTTTAATTTTATTTCTATGATTTTGAACGTATAATCATGTATTTTGGTTTTACTCAAAGGCAATTTATCGAAGATAGCTTATGACGTTAGTAGCTAACGGTCAACATGTAATTAGTAAAGTCATTTCTAATGTTTCGACACGCTGTTAACTACCTAATATTAACAAAATATTAAAACCCAATATAATTCGTTGATATAGAAATAGAAAGTCATATTTTTCCACGTGTATTTCATTGATATACATGTATTGCATCGTTGAAGATAGTTCCAACGGTTGGACGCCATTATGCGCGCACCTGGACAGTGGTATTTTTGTTGGAACTTGTTAATTGTTGATCGTTTTCCTCATCGAATAAGTTTTTTTTTTTTTTTTCGAGAATGAACGTTTCTTAATCACCTTCTTGTATAACGACGAAGGATTTTATTTTTAAAATATGCCATAATGTACATAATTTATTTTATTCCATTGCAATTTCCGTTGGAGATATGAAAATTCATTTATTTTTAAGTATCAAGGAAACATTCGAGATCGATTAAAAATTTGTTCTATTTTTTATTTTTTCCTTGTTTACAAATTAAATTTATAATAAAATAGATCGTAAAAAAACTATAGAGTATATTCCATGAAAGCTTCTTTATTATTATGACGGTTAAGCCCAACTTAGTTTTACGATTTGCCAAGAAAATCAGTAATTTGATGAAGAAAGTTTCGTTTTAAACAATTTTTTATTTATAGTTTTTCCTTTCATTTGTTTTCTTTTATATTTCATATATACACAGTTTTGATCTCTCTTAAACAAAATAATAAATAAATAAAAAGATGATAGTTATGAGAAATGTCTTTTTTACCGAGGAACGTTAGGGCGTATGATGCAACGTAGACAGTAAAAAGGAACGGTACCTACTCGTCTCGTTCGATTCGTTTGGTTCGCGTGTGAGAGTTCACTCACACATCAGAATAAAATGGAAGAAGGTACGAGTTCGATATAACTATAGCATAATCTATGATTATGCTGGAGAATCGTCAGAGTAAGTTTACCGCTACGACCACGTAATACTATTCCCTTCGTGTGTAAGATTCCCGAAGTCATGGCATGATGGAATAAATGATAAAGAAGATGGAGAAAGTCGTTCTCGTTTGACTCGCATATGGTATTATCGTAACCATAGCTTCGTTCTGTATATATTACATTCCTATATATAGATATGAATGTAACTAAGAATATATGATCGTATATATAGGTACTATATATGCATGCACATTCAATCATACATTGACGTTTCTTCGTATATTCTATAGAATATACAATACAAAACCAAAAAACAGAAAGAGAGATAATAGTAAAACGTATGCAGTAAGTTTGATCTCTGATCATACTTCTCAAAAGTTTATATATCGTTCTCTTTTATATTATAGTTTTTACGTATGCTTGTGGTCATTCGTATTGTTTTTTAAGCCGAAGTTTATCTCATTGAAAATTCGAGGTAATAGTAGGTTATTACTTCGACGTTGTTATGAACAAATATATTCATACTAAAATAGTCTACTATTTTATTCTTGTTTTTTTTTCTTTTTTTTTTTTTTTTTTTTTTAATACAAGAAAAATAAGGAATTTAGAAATATTTCATTTTCGTTATATTCCAATAAAATTAGTTGAATTTATTTATGATAGATAGGAAAAAGTTTTGCAATATCTCCGTGGTCGTTTCATCAAAAAAGGAATACTTATGGCTAGTCATTAAAATTTTCAAATACGTGGGAAAAGAATCAGTTGGAGATAGGTATAAATATAAAGTAAAGGAAAAACGTATAGGATCGATGAGAAAAGGTAACTTTAGCAGGTAGCAGTTATAGAATTGTCATCGATTTAGACGGTTTAGAAGACGTGTTCGACATCAGGGAAATGTTAAAGACAGAAACTGAGGAAGAGAGAGAGAGAGAGAGAGAGAAAGAGAACAAGAGAAATGGAAGAAGAGAAAGAAAATGTGAGTTTAATGGTGGAAATATATGGATCGATTGATCGAATGAACGAACGAACGAACGAACGAACGAAGACGCTCTTGTTGACGCCGATGACGACGACGTTACGTCGCGACGACGACGACGACGACGACGACGACGACGACGAAGAAGAAGAAGACGTCGGCGACAACGACGATGGCTATTAGTCTCGCCTTTTCTTTTTTCAATTCATTCTCCTTCTATTCCTCCTCCATATTCTCCTCCTTCTCCTCTTCCTCCTCTTCTTTCTCTTCTTTTCCCCTACTGTATTTTATCATCAAGGTCACGGCCAATACGTTCAACCGATCGAACGTCGTTACTTTCGTTTCACATTTATGTAGGATTATTTCATTTTTATGAGTGTAACAATCTTTCTAACAACCTTGAAGATGTTTTTTATTTTTATATTTGTTTGACCAATAATTGTTTTGAAAGTTTTATTAACAAATTAGTAAATACTCTCGATGTGTTTATTTAAATATCAATTATTAAAAGTGTTGACATTATTGGTCAACTCGCAATCAATTACATATATATACATGTATGATGATTGTACGTCTATTTTTATAATTACAATTTTTTTTTTTTATAGAATTTAAAAGCAAATAATTGGGTGGAAAAATTATTGTATAAATTACTATAAATTTTCTTTTGTTTATTTAGATATTATATATATATTAAAAAGATTCATAATTACTTTTTAACTATTTGTGTAGTTATTGGAAATATAATGTCAAGTAGATGAGAAAAGAATCGATAAGCATAATCGAGTTTTGATCGTGCGCTCATTCTAAAAGTATATTTTTCAAATAAACTTCGATTCTCAACGACGTATGTTTTACACGTATATAAGTATTAGGGCGATATAAATGTATAGAAAACATGAAAAGGCTCATTTAAAAGCTAACTCATAGGATTCATTGAGATCCTGTTTGCTTTGAAAGTCGATCTTTTTTCCTATCTCTCTTTTTTTTTTAATTTCTTTTATTTAATCTTTTTTATTATTATTTTTTTAATACTATTTCATTTCCATTTAATCATTTTTCGAAAGTAGATGGTAGTAGATATCGCTTATCTTCCTTTTGAAACGTGTCTCTTTCACAAAAATATATTTAACAATAAATCATTTTTAAATAGATATCTTGATAAAGTATTAGGAAATTTGGGATAGGGTATATCGAGTTTATCTTGAATTTAGGTATTTGTGTATATGTCGAAGAATCATTTGGCAAGCAAATTAATGAATATTATCGTTAGTTAAGTGATTCAGCCACTTAGGCAATCCGTCATTTAGTCATTCAATCTGAACAGAAAGCAAAGTGTAATGCGTTTTATCTGTTTTACCGTAAAAATATGAAAATAATGGTACGGTGCTCGAATTATTTCCTTCGCTTTTTGTTTGTTTTTCTTTTTTTTTTTTTTCATTTGCTTCGTTCATTCATATGTTTTTATTATAATTATATATAATTTTTTATAATAAGGTTTTATAATAATGTTTTAATGAATTTGATGTCTTTTCATAAAAATTTCATTTTACAAACGTTGGAAAAAATATCATGTTACAAAATTTTATTAATGCATTCGTATATGGGTGGGTATATGTGTATTTTTATATATTGAATCAGAAACGAGATATTCATTTTGAAACCATGCATATTGATTTTTTTCTCTCAATGCATCAACACTCATCCTTGCAAAGAAATTACACATTGGATTTGTAGTTAAAATGTCCATACGTTGATATGTCCACATTTTTGGTTCTATCACATTTTCGAGCATTTTTGTTATTATTGAAATCCCTATAAGTGAAACGACAAAGTCAATTTATAAATTTTATTTATATTTATAACATAACGCACAGAGCGGAGTCGAAAGTTTCTAGATTTTTAATTTTTATAATCTAAATAAAAACAATTAGCTTAAATGTTTCGCAAAAGAATAATTGATATTTAAAATCACCTGTGGAACGGTTGAAACGGTTGAAACGGCCTGTGTTTTTACTTTGGAAATTAAATTAAATAAATCTTTCCCGAGGTTTTTTATCTCTTTCATTTATTTTTCGTACTTAATCGTTTTAGTAGTTTTTTGGAATTATTTCAAGTTATAGTTGTCGTAACACGCAAAGAAGAATTGTCTAGTAAAATAGCATTTTTCATCGTGATTATATTTACGATTCGAGAATGTCGGTAGCTTCGAGATTACCGTGAAAGCTTTTGTAGGTTTGGGTTAACGACGTGCATAGATGGCATCATCCCCCAACGCGCTCGTAATATATCTTTCTCGATTACGAGATTAAAAGTGTGATATAAATCGCTAGATGGCAAATTCTTTTTGGGTTTTTTTGTTGTTGTTATGTTTTTGTCTCTTTCTCTTTTTTTTTCCCCCTACTGTCGAAAGAGGTCCAGTTGGAACGTAGTTAGCAACAACGGATACCATCCAAAACGAAATCATTTCGCTTTATGGTTGATAAATTTTCGAATGTAATTCCTATCCGAAAAAGGGAGAAAGAACGCCTATGCATTTCGTATACGTAGGTATATAAATATATATCTGCATGTATATATGTATACATACCTACATGCATCCATACTTTGTCGTCGTCGTCGTCATTGTTGTGATGGTTTGATGTTGGTAAAGGTGATGGTTGTGATAGTACGTACATACATCGTTGAAATTCGATTACCATGCAAAACAGCTTCTCCAGTGTAGATTTTTTTTGTCCAAAAAGTTTCTCTACATACAAAGCAATAGAGAAAACAGTGAACGAGTTTGTTCGATAGCTAGAGCTTCCCTTGACTATATTCTATGAGTATGTAAAACAAATAGGCATGACGTTCATCGATCTAACATAAGTTAACGGAGTAAATATCTGATACAACATTTTTATTGATTTTCACGCATATTTTTTACTTCTTTATTTCT